GATGCAGCAGTAGACAGGGAACTGCAAGAGGTCTTCACAAGTCCACTGAGAAGATATGTTAAATATTATCAAGCACATCATGGGGAACAGAAATGGAAGTAATCTCTAATGTTTCTCAATCAAAAACGTTTTACCCTACATTCCCATCCAGGATAATCTATGAAATGAAACACGTACTCAGTGCTGGGAATATTTCAGGTATGGTAATCTCCTACGCCTGTACATGTGAAGGAAGACTCCTGCAAATCTGGGGGGTCTCTCACTGCCAAAAATCTCGAGAGACAAACAGGCAAACTAATGCGGACAGTTTTAGAACTAGGAGACAACTTCAAATATTACAAAGAATTGAACAAATTTATTAACAAAATAGAACTATCAATTAAATGATTTATATTTTATTCTACTTTTCAATCAATGTATTAGTCAGTGATTTTAAAAATTCTTTCTTTAAAAAATCTTTTTGTGTGCCTAATTCCTTGTTACACATATTGCTACCTATAATATGCTATGTAAAAGCAATACTTTGTAATCAATGATGGAGAAGGTAGAAATGAATTACCCAGATATAGAGGTAATGCAGTTGGGAAAAAAAGATCAAAAGAACGAAGAAAACAGTCCAAGATGTTCGGAATCGGCACTACTTTATGTCCGAGCATTTTGTTAGAAACATAAAATCCACTTCACTTCATATGTACTTTGGGTTAGATAGTTAGATTTTATTCGATGATTACAAATTTGGTCGATTTTTCCTACAACTTCCTTTCAAAAATCTCAGCCAGATATGGTAAATGTTAGGTTAAAATCAATGCATAGTTTAGTAGTTGCCAACTTAAGTGATAGGATTATGTCAGTACCTCCTCCAGCTCATTACCCTGATTGCCACGAAAAATGGCTGACAAAATGTGTCTAACAGACAGATCAAAACAGTGTGGGCGATCAGGATCGTCAGTAATGACTAAGCCAGAAGTGCACCCACCAGACTTCAAGAAAATAAATCTATTAATATATCATTTTACTAGCCTGACTTTCTTCAAATATTTCCGGACTTTAAACACAAATTTTGATTTTTCTTCGAGATGGTGATGAATATGTAATTTTGTTGTTTCTGATCATATTGGTCGGCTACCCTGCTGTTTGGGGAGTTATTCATCTTCAGTAGTGTTCAGGGAAATAAGTGGGGTGAGATATCGGCACAAACCGAATATTTAAGATGTCGAGAAGCTGAAAATCTGGTGTCCCAAACATACCTCGAGAAAAAATTTTACCAACACATCGCTTTACTAGCAGCTACCAAGTTTGTGACAATTTTATACTAGCGTTTTCAAATAAATTTTGTCCAGGATTGAATGGTTTTTAGTGACCGTTAGCCAATGATTATTTAGAGATCGTGAGGTGCAGTCTGGTGTGACGAAGGTTTTAGAAAAAACATTTTCTTTATGATGCCAACGTTTCGATCTTTATTGAGCCCTGAAGATGATCTCAATAAAGACCGAAACGTTGGCATCATAAAGAAAATGTTTTTCTAAAACCTACGTCACACCAGACCTCAACTCACGATCTCAAAATAATCTTTGTCCAGGATTTTTAATAATAATTTTTTAGCTTATCATTTATTTTGGTCACAATTTGAAAACCCACTGTGGACTCTGGAGGTCCAGCGAGCGCCAATTGTTAATCGGTGGCCTATAGTTGTATAAATCTTGTGATAGATCTGTTTTCCTATTAAAATATATAATAATTAAATAATAAAAAGTTCTAAAACATGTGTAGTTTAACTTTAAATCACGATAGGCCATAGGAAAATTGGGAACCATTGAAAACATCTATCAATTTTTGATATTTTAATAAATTTACAAGATCTTTGTCATGAGTATGAATTTGTTTGTTAATCACGGTGATTTCGGCCCCCTCGTCTCTCATCGAGACCAATAACTGTCCCCTTGTAATCCTAGTAGGTAATTAGTCACGGCCCGCGTCCCTCCACCCCGGCATCCTGATGACAATGACGAGCCTTCATCACTAATGAAACGTTTGTACACCCTTCTCCTCTTTCAAATCTACTCGATCCCCGTTGCCACCTAGAAATGCTACCAATCGTATCGATCTAACATTCACATGAAATTTTCCTCGTGGAGGCGAGCCCGGGTAAAGCAGGCCGGTAAAAACTCTAAGGGGGAGGCTGTTGCTCGGCGCTGGCAGACGGTTTTAACAGTTAAATCCGTGAGGTCGAGGGTTGGTTCGCCAGGACTGCTTTTAGCTCGTTAAGGACCCCAACGTCTTATAAGACATATTGGACACGTTGATGAATGCCTCCTTAGTCTTGAGCCGCCAATATGCTAATCCCGTGGGGCCCCAAGACGGATGGAAACGGTAGCAGACTATTAACATTCCGCTAACTCACGGGAATTAGTAGAAATTAAAATGGCACCTTGGTCTTCGACCCCTCCGTTAGCTCAAACAATTACTCAGCCAAAGCACAAGTATGCTAATGGGGATGGGGATAGTTGCTTTTTTTATTGCAATTCAAAACGTCCACAATCGTTCGCCCCATACCAACATCAATTTAACACATTTTAATTAACGAGATCAATTTATTTTAGTTGGATCTTATCGATTAAAACGTAATGGGCTGTACTGTAGGTTAACCAATAATACACAGATTGCCATAAGTCGACATTAAGTTGATTGTGGGACAATACTTGATCAGTCGAAACTGGAATTTCATAAGATATTCAAAAGAGACTATGTTAAACGATGTAATTCGGTCGTTTCCGATAATCTTATGTAGTAGATCAGGGGTATCAACAGGGTGACCAGGTTCATCAAAGAGCAGACCTAGGTAAGAAATCTAAGAATATATCATTTTACCAACCATTTGAAAAATCCCTAAACCATCAGTTTCTTAATATCATAATTTTTACTAGGCTTATTACAAACGTTCTATAGGTTTTGGTCGATGTTACTAACATCCTACAAATAATGATGTATCACCTATTTAACTTAATAATGTAATAATGTATAGATTAGTAGTCAACATTCAGGGGTGGTTTGTATTCATTTCTCACCCTACTTATACCCAGACAATCAGTGAAAATTGTTGACCATTTAACGACGGCAAAAAATTTTTAATAACAACTGGTCGGGGTGGCCGCAACGGTTTAGGCGCTCATCACTGTAAGACAAAGGTACCGGGTTCGAATCCAGCGGCCCTGCAACCCCCTGATCCCTTATCTCGTTTTATATATCTGTCAGACCTTTGGCAGCCTTTTCTGGTGGTTATCAGTGAAATAAGCTGGGCGAGGCATTATCGTAAAGTAGCCACGATACTTGTGTTAACTCTGTTGACAAGTGCTAAATTACTGATTCCAACTCGACCAAAACCTGTAGCCATAGAATAAAGTCCAACTTCCTAATCTAAAATTACATGTGAAGAGAAGTGGAATTCCTTTTACTAACAAAATAATTAGAAAAAGAAAGTTGTATCGGGTCCGAACATCTGGGACGGTTATCCACATTGGTTTAGTCTGTCGATCACGATGGTGAAATTTGACCATGACGATCAAAATTGACCAAACTACAAAATTGTATTTCTTTATGCCCCATTGTGTCCTTGTTTCATAGGTGACGAACCTGTTCATCTGATTATCTGTCATCCTGGTGAACTGATCATCCTGAAAGCCCATGCTCGCTGTTTTGTTCAGACGCGTTTTGGCACTAAACTAATTATTAAAATAATTTTACGTCGTTTTATATTGATTTTTCGTGAGAAAAAATCCGACCCACTACCGAAGTTGGATAAATACATTTTCAACAGAAAAAAAAAAAAAGTTCTAGGGCCAAAAAAAGTAGCTTTCATAAGTAGTTAAAGTAATTCAATTCACTAGTTTCGTGGTCCGCTTGACCAATTAATATCATACAATTAATTAAGGTTTTTAGTTGAGATAAAAAAGTCAATGGCACGAGCGGGATTCGAACCCACGATCTTCGGCTTGATACGCCGCTGTTCTACCACTTGAGCTATCGTGACCTCGATCCACTCGGACACCAACTTAAAAAAAACCAACTTGAAAAATGGCAAAAAGGAGGGAAAATTCAAAAGGTGCGGTTGAGTTGGGAAGTGGGAGAGCAGCGGCGTATCAAGGCGAAGATCGTGGGTTCGAATCCCGCTCGTGCCATTGACTTTTTATCTCAACTAAAAACCTTAATTAATTGTAAGTTAAAGTAATGTTTATTCCTTCGAAAAAATCTAATTAAAAGTATAAGTTTTATATGATCCAATTGCTTAAGTGACATGCCATTATAAACATTAAAAAAATTAAACAAGACCTTTAATTTATGTAGGGTTTAATCTTTAAGTCTCCCCTAGGTGCCAACGATAAATGAACACTTCTTAATCTTCGTGGGATAATGAGCTTATCAACTTTACGCTACAGTAAAATACTGAAAATGATGAAATTTGACAAGGATAATCGGAAATGGCAAAAGTTCATAAATTGTATGTTTATTGACCTTAAAATGTGATTTTATTAAAATTAATTTGACTTAAGAAGGGTCACCCACAACATATGGAGGCTGGAGTTTGGGCGCTTTTGCCATAATCATTGCAATTTTTATTTATCTCTATGCCTGAAAAGATTGCTTTATTACACCTACAAGGTGGATAATTAATGAAAAGTTTAAGTGTAATATATTACATAAATATTGTAATGATTATGAAAAAAGGGTACTTGTCCACGGTATTTTTCTAAAGTAGTAACAGCAATGTTTATTCCTTCGCAAAAATCCGATTAAAATAAAAAATAAAATAATAAAACTATCCAACAATTGAAACTAAAAAGGAAAATAGAATGATCAAAATTTAGAGTAAAAATGGATGTTTGCTTGTCAAAATGAAATGATTTTTTTTGTGGGTTTATGATATTATATTACCCATATATATATATATATATTTTTTTTTTTTTTAACATGATACCACCACTTAGCGAGACAGGTGAGAAGAGACCCGAGCCGAAGCACGCGCCCCATGTTACATGTCTACCTTTGAATTACACCTCAATGCAACTTTCCCTTATGAAACAATAAATTAGATGGTATATGTCTCTTCTCCCAGTTGTAATTAAAGTTTGCAATGAAAAAGGTCTGGCCACTCCAACCAAGGATTCGATGCCACTAATGAGATTCTCATATCCTCGTATTCTGGGCATTTCATAATTATATGGTTCATGTCCTCTGTACAATCGCAGGAAGCACAATTGGCAGATTGTCTCAGGCCAATCTTATATTTATGAGCACCCCATAAGCCATGGTTGCTTCTGATCCGTGTGAGTACTGTTTGGAAGTCGCGAGTTGCCCTGCATCCTTGAAACCACGGAGCCTTGGGTACCACGGGGAACCTGGACCGATACAGTGATCCGCCTGCGGAGCCACTATGAAATTCCTGCCACTCAGATAGCCAACTCGCATTGAGTAAACGTCTACAATCGCTTTTTGTATATTTATATTCGCAGAATTCCCCTGTATCGATAGCCTGTTTCGCCTTCACATCTACCAGCTCATTCTCGCGTATTCCTGAATGCCCTCTAATCCAGCATACAGTTATATTTTTTCCGCTGTTGACCAGTTCCCTATACACTAGCAAAATATTTACTGTTACATGGTCCGAATTGGTATTTATTTTCTCTATGTGGGAGACAATACTTTTTGAATCAGTCACGATAGCAATTTTCTTAACATCTATTTTCTTTACATACTCTAATGCCTTTAGAATAGCCATGGATTCGGCAGAGAAGTTGGAGCTATTTGCAGGGAGAGAAAATGTTTTATTCTTCCTCCGTACTGAGTCGTAAAGAGCAAACCCAGCCTTACCTTCCACCACAGAACCATCCGTGAAAATCATATAATTGCCAGCAAGGTGTTCCCTAGTGAAATGATCTAGCTGAGATTCATCATACCCATCCTCGTTTCCACCAGACAAATGTAGTAAATTCTGAAGAATTCTTTGTTCTATATTAAAATTGTCAATTAAACCGTATGTTGACATTATTACAAAAACCAGACCGTAGAAAAATACCTGACCGTGTAGAGTTCGAAAGGGAAAAACCGCCCATGGGGTGAAAACAAAGTTGACAAGTGTGCAGAATTTGATTAGTAAGTGTCCGGTCTCCAGGTAAGCGCTAGGTTTTGTTTATAAACAAAGCCCGCCCACAATTGTCCGATGGACAAAAGGTCAGAAAGCCATTTATGCTCCGGGACGAGTCTATTTCCTCAGGCACTATGCAGGGACGTTTGTTGTTCAAATAATGCCTGGTAAAAATCCCGTCTCGACTTTGAAAAGGAGGAAAGTGAAACAAATTCAAATTTCCGCCTCTTGGCCTCCGATTAATACAAGGTTGTCAAAACTTTACAAATCTTGTGGACACATAAATATTTTTCAATGGTTACACCGTGATAAATCTGGGGAAACATACACTAATGGAATGGTCTGAGGTCTCGGAGGAAAACTATCTTCAACTGAAAAATTGCAGCCAGGTGGCAACACAAAAGATTTATAGGCAAAACATAAAGCAAAATAAATGAAAATGTGAAAAATAAACAAAAGTCATTTTTTTTTAAATTGAAATATGCTGGGTGATGAACTTGGTGTTTGCTCATCCTCCCTATTCTCGCTGTTTTTGTCTAACTCATTTCTTATATTCTAACACCAATCTACTTTTCTTGCTTTGTATGCAAGTCCCAAAAGTCAGCGGACTTGATACATCTAAAAGTGTTTCACAGAAAAAATTATATAAGCAGTCAAAAGATTCGCTACATGTTGAAATATTCTGCCCCCTTCATTGGATAGAAGTTGGACCTCATTAAGGTACTGATAGATAATAAATAAAAACTTTTCTCACTTATATTCAGCTTCTGTTAAAGATGGGTAGTACTCACTTCTTCCTATGGGCAAAGAGAAATATTATTAGTTTCATACAAGCATCCACTTTATCAGTTTCAATACCTTAACTTAAAAATTACTTCAATAATACTTTCCAAATGTGCATAAAGAAAATACTGCATTATACAATTCTACCTGGATTAAACTAATATTAACATTATTCAATCGTGGGTACTCTGGCTAATATTTGAATTCATAAAGCCATTAAAAAAATTATAATAAACACTATTATACTAAATGTAAAAGTAAAACCAAGATTTTATTGTCAAAAAAATATTGTCAGGTACCCAGCCGGAATGGAAGGTGGAAAAAAGTCGTGTGACAATGACAATCGGGAAAACCGTGACAAACATGATGTACTAAAGTGCTTTTGCTTTTTAAGAAAATCGAAATAATAGGATAAACGTCCAATTTTCGGTGTTCCTCGTGAATCCTTAAGTTTCATTTCCTGCTGGTTGGGCAGCTTTAAATTTCAAAAGGAAAAACTTCCATCAAGTGGCATTCTCGTAAGATGTGATAATCATGCCAAATGTGTTAAAAAAATTTAAACAAATATATTTCCTGTGTAGAGTTTGGTGATCGTTAGATATTGGTTTACTTAAAACGTTTTGGTTACAGTGGATGCGTCCAAAAAAAGAATCAGGAAAGAAGATTCGATAGAGTTTTGTTTTGCCAATCTAACTTGTTTATTTTTCCCTGATTCTTTTTTTGAACCGTTTCATTGTACGGTTTCATCAAAACGCGATTTCATCAAGGCACTTTTTAGACATAACACTAAACAACGGTTGCGTGTGATCTAATAAAAAAGGCCTTTCAAATGAATTGAGAAATGACTTAAAATTTAATTCTGCTTCAGCCTGGTTTAGTACAGATTGAAAGACTAATTCGAGGGGTTAGAAACAAAGCATCACAATCTGACAGAAAATATGTTCAAGGTTTGTCTGTTTGTTTTAGTAATGTACAGTGTTCATTGACACCTGGAATATCCATTAAATCGGCAGTGCCAGTCACTTCTGAGGCTTTTTTATGTATACTGTAATTTATATCCTTTCAAATATCTCAGGGAGATACTTGAATACAGTAAAGTGAATTCCATTGTTTCTTGCATTTTATGTTCTTTCTTAAGATCCTAATAGAATGCCTTCTAGCAAAAGGGTTTGGGCCTCTCATCGTGCAGTTTTATTGAAGGACATCGTCTTCTTTATTTATTTCTTCACCTACTTATCCTGGACTCTTTCTGGTAGGGGATCGATTTAGCCTAAGGTTTCGGACTTGCAATATTCAAAATTGTCTTCGTCCTTATTATTTTCGGATTCCGTTCTCTGATAATTACTTAACTATATGGCGTGCACTTTTTTCCTTGGTTTTAGGTTCATAAGTATAAAAACCTTCCTTGGCCAAAGGTGTTTTTTCACCATTACTGGTTTACTGCCAAGATTGGTATGGATGTCTAAATTTAAATTCTCATTTCTTTTGTAGAATCATCCACATCACCATAATCAAGTTCAGTGTTATGTTGGTTGCATGGCTATGCCTTTGGTTTTTATATTTTCTGTTTAAATTGAATTTAGTACATCTCACAATTGCGTAGCTTTTAGCTTGACAGATTTTTATATCCTTAGAATTATAGGACTTAATTTACCTATAGCCAAACTACCCTGCCACCTTACATTCTTGCGTCCTGATGATCTCTTTGGTGACAGAGCACTGAGGAATTCTGCTTATCCAAAAGGCATCTAGAGAATGATTTGCAAGACCATACATAGGCCCTGAACCAATACTTGGGATATCAAAAACAAAAATAGAATCCTCATCGCAGAATGGATCCAAATAAAACAACTGGCAAACTCATTTCAGCAATTGGAGAGGGCTAGACTCAGAGGAGTGATAGGACTATTAACCAGTCATCGGCATATGAGAAAACATCTACCCAACATGGGCATCCATAACGATGACCCCATCTGCAGAACAATCAGGAGGAGGTAACAGCCACCCATCTTGAATGTGAAGCAACGGCTCAATGGATATTTAACCTAACTTACAGACAAAATCTAGGGAATGAAATTGTAGCAACGACAGACAATGACCTGATACTTCTAAGAAGAAGGATTGAGTCTGTTGCACTGAACTAGGGAACTAGGAAGATACAATAAGCCAGAAAGCTGCAGTGTCTGGGGAGCACAAACCCCGCTTGCTAATATCATGACCATTACCATCTCGTGACGGCCAAGAAAATGAAGATGGTCGAGTTCAGTGCCGTGCTGACTGCTGGTTGCCTGGCATAGTCATAGGATTGGTTTTTCTCTGTTCAAATTGACACATCTCTCAATTGCATGAATTTCAGTTCAAAAACTATTTGAGGTTTGGATTTTTCCCCTTGGTATCTTTCGATGCTGACGTTGGTCTGCTTTGTTCTGATATATTTATGCTAAATAAAACAAAAATCGAATGGCTCTTTTGTATTCAATTTTATACAAATAAAAGTTCGCATCAAACTAAACAATAAGTATTGGGGCCCCACAGCCGTATTTATAGAGGAAAGCTGTTGTTGAAAAATTGATAAAACCTATTGTGGGTGTGCCGTTGGAAGTGATAAGAAGTATGCTGGATATCTGGGGGCGGCACGGCTAATAAAACGGGGTTCCGCCCCCAGACATAAATCCCCCAGGCGTTATCAGCTCGAATGTAATGGATGTCAATTTATTTCCTGCGCCTCCGCCGTGTATCCGGCCTTAACGCTTTTCCCATCGATTGCCCACCGTGTTTGGACTCGAGGAGTGAGCTATTTCACCGTAGCAAATTGAATTTGATGGAAAATAACGATAATTTAAGCTTTACGAAAGCGGAAAATAGAATAGAACCCTGGAGGTTTACAATGGCATTTTTTTTAAATTGTCACATATGAGTAAGAAAATAGGTTCTTTTATTCGATGTGTAAAATATCTGTTGAATTTTTCTCGTTGAGTGTCGTTTCGTAATATCATGGGAATATTTCTATGTCAGGAATTAAGCTATCAGTGATATTCTTTAGAAGTTTAGATTTTTTAGTGCAATCCGACCTTTGGTAATTCAGGAAGCCCCTAAGGCTAATAAAAAATATATATGCAGTAGCTTTAAATTAATTAAGGCTTTTAGTTGAGATAAAAAAAGTCAATGACACGAGCGGGATTCGCGCAAGTTAGTGTCCGAGTGAATCAAACTCACGATAGCTCAGGTGGTAGAGCAGCGGCGTATTCGAGGGTTCGAATCCCGCTCGTGACATTGACTTTTTTATTTCAACTAAAAACCTTAATTAATTGAAAGATATTAATTGGTCAAGCGGACCACGAAAACTAGTGAATTGTAAATGTAGTAGGTTTTTCATCAAGAAGAAAATCCTATTTTTTTAAATGTTTTTATTTTTATGAAATCAATTTCAAAATAAAGAGTTTTATTTTGGCCTGACATCATCAACCTCCTAAACAAGTATTAAACCTGATGCGCACAACATCGGTTTATATGTAATTTATTATTAATCAATGTATTTTTCCGAACGTCTATCTTGGTTAATTTGCTGACACACATAAACCTGGTACGTTCTGTTGTAGGTTTTATTTATTATTACTAATTCCAATTAATTTTCTTTTTATGTAAGGTTTTTAGTTGAGATGAAAAATTAGTGTCACGAGGGGGATTCGAACCCATGACCTTCGGCATTACGCCGCTGCTCTAACCACTCGAGCTATGATTTTGAATTCAAGAGTGGGTTGGAATCCCTCTCGTGACACTAATTTTTTAAAAACCTTAAATAAAAAGAATGATTAATTGGAATAATTAATATGGTCAATTATGACCACTAAACAAATATGGATTATTACTAATTACAATTTTGCTGAACAAACTCAAACAAAATAAGAATAAAATTTGTCAACAGTACAAAAACATGTTAACAATGTACAAAAATAATTTTAAGAACACAAATATTAATGTAAATAAAACAAAACTGTAATTAATAAGAAGTAAAGGGGGCGTCGGTGGCCGCAACGGTTTAGGCGTTGACACGGCGCTCATCACTGTAAGGTAAAGGTCCTGGGTTCGAATCCCCCTCGTGACATTAATTTTTCATTCTAACCCGATATACTTACTTACAAAATAATATAAAATATTTAAAAAAGACAGAATTTTGAATTTTGAATGTAATTATCCAGCCCGTTAAAAGAAAAAAACGTAAGAGATATAGAGTAATAAAACATATATTTTTAAAAAAGTTTGTTCTATAAATTTGGCATGTTTTATGTAAAGCGAAGAGTCCAATCTTTTATGCACCTACCGGTCAACCCTTGTCTGTAAGAAACGCCCGCCGAGATATTGAATACCGATCCTAATCAACTTATCCATCTTCTTGGACGTAACCACCTAGGAGTCCATAATAATCGTGACAGGTCGATATACAAGTGTTGCATCAGATATTCAGATCCATCAACGCTTCTGGGCCGTCACATTTTAGAGACCTCTACCCCACATCGATCATCGGCGTCACTAGATAAAAATGTTCTTTGTTGTTTGAGTGTAAGGGGGGTTAGAGAAGAAAATAATGGTAACATTTGGCACTTTGCTATAAGCAGTTACCCTTCCAACTATGAGACTGCTTGTTATGTGTGGGATTTCGCCAACTTCAAGGGTATCGGTCGAGGGTCATGAGGTACATTCGGTTTTCACGGTTTTATCAAAAATTTTTGATTCTGTGAATCATTTTTTGTTTGATTCACAAATTGCGTATGGCTGGTTTTGGTAAGCCGATTTTAAATAGGTTTCTTTCTTTTCTCGTTTGAAGAACCTTTCGTGACAGCTTTGGATCTGGTGTTCCTCAGGGCTGTTCAATAGCTTCTTCCGCTTTGTTATCAAATCTATTAAATTGTATGGGTTTTCTTTGTTCGCTGATGGTCTTCACATTTTGCCGGATGTTTCGACGTCTAACAATATTATAGTGTTGCAGAATCTCTGCTTTTTTCGACAAGTACAC